ATATATAAACATATATAAATAAAACCACTTTTTTTACATTAGTAATTCCTTTGTGCATAATTTTATATTATTGTTAATAATAAATTAATTAAAGCAACAAAACAACCTGAAGAGCCGGTTTGGAGCCGAAAGAGCCGGCTCTTTTTAGTGAGCCGAACCAAAAGAGCCGGTTCTCCAAAAAGAGCTGGAAATCCCATCACTATTTGCCAAATGGTGTAAGGCTGAAATTAAGTGCCTTAATAAGGTACTTGGCCACAGAGTGATTGGCAGAAAGCGATAACATTCCATCAAAGAACAGGTGTGTTTAAATGAGCGCCTGTGGGTTTTCAACCTGGTTTATTTCTTAGTGCTGCTGAACATCTTTTAAACAGATCAGTTCCTGTTTTACACAATGCTACCTTTGTTTTTACTAAAACTTGTTTATCCTCTTACTGTTCACCACTTAGGTGACACTATTCCCTTAAAAGTAAATACTGATACAGATTGAAGGCCATGGCAGAGGTTTGCACTCTGAGTGCTTCTTGTTTGTTCTGAAATTGCTCACAGTCGTGCTTTTACGTTTCCTTTAACTTAACCTAATTTTTATTTTCTTTGGGGATTTTTTGTTTCAATCATTGTTGTATTTATATAAAATTTTAATTCTTTATTCTTTTGATCCTCCTGCTGTAACACATTAATTTCTGTTGTGGGATCAATAAAGTATCTCTCTGTCTGTCTATAGAGTGATCCGTGGACGTTGTGGATTTATTATCAGGTCGGCTTCAACTCTTTTTCCAGCTGTTTAAACTTCCATATGCTGAATGTTGCTTCTTTGTATTACCATCTGGGTACCGCATCTTCTCATGTATTAGCCTTCCTTGTTGGTACAGCAGCAAGTATCCCCACCGGTCGGTCCTGTGGTAGATCTTTATTTGATGCCTCGATGGTGAGATTTTTTTTGATTAGCATTCAAATATCTCAGTGAATACACAATAAAAATTACCACAAAGCAAGAAAGCACAAGACAAGGCTAATCAAAAGGTATTGTCTGAAGCATATGCTTATTACGCCAACCCTTTTAACAAAAGATCTTTTAGCATGCGGCTCCTGTACACAGGGCTCGAAGCAAAGAAAAAAACAAAGCAAAGCAACAAAAAAAAAAACATACAAAAAACCAAACAAAAAAATGTTCCACCTTAGATAAGTAACTACATCAAAGCAAAACAACCAAGAGTTTCAGTATTTATTATTATTGCTCTTTTCATTCTTGATTTATATATTTTTCTAATACTCTATTTTTAAACATGTTTTTAAACAAGGAAAATGAACTACACCTTTTTTAAATCACTGTCATAACTATTCCACAAGTTAACTCCTCTGACAGAAACACATCTCTGCTTTATGTTTGTCCTTATCTTTTTTTTTTTTTTAAAGAAACATGTTCCCCTTGAGTCATATTGACTCTCTCTGACTTTAAACAGCTTCTGAGTGCTGACGCAAAGCAAGTTATTTTGTGCTTTATACATGATCTGAGCCACTGTATATTCAAATAAATCATAAAATTTTAAGGGTATTCAGATTAATAAACAAAATGTTAGTTGGTTCTATATAGTTTGAAATAATCAGTCTCTTACTTAATTGCTAGGAAGGTACCATGTGGGTGTGCACACTGTGGGTAGCTTTTGAACCATCATATTGTGCCAGGGTTTTTCTACTTTTCCACTTTCACCACTGGTTAACTCACAGGGTTTACTGCTTAATGGGGGTTAATGCCAGTAGATACAGTGTAATCATTTTTCTATAAAATATATTACTATACTGTATAAGAGTATTAACTACATTACAAATGTATCCTCTGTCCTGTAGGGTAAAAGATGCAAAGCCCCAAACACCCACAACAGACATCATTATTCAGAGAGCTGTGATATTTGGGGCACCTTGGATGGAGCGTGCCCGTATTAATAGTGTTTGCTCAGGCTGTTAAGTTGCTCCAGCTTCAGGAGGCGATTCCACAGGAATGAACACTTGTCCTGTTAAAAACAAGAACATATTTATCATTTTAACAACTCTATTGGTCAGATTTACTACACTGTAAAAAAAAAAATCCTGAAAAAACAGTAATATTCCAGCAGCTGGGGCGCCAAAATAATACCATAAAAAAATAGAAAATAACTTTCTCATAAAAATACGGTTATTTTCAGTAATGACAATACAGTTTGTTGCCCTAATTTTACATGGGATTTACATGGGAAATCACAGTCTATTTATGTAAATGTAATGATATTCTAGAAGAACAGAACAAAACTGTAAAATACACAGTAAAATACTTTTATATTAGGATTTTTTTACAGTGTATGCAAGCAAAACTTAATGTTGTTGCAACCACAGAAAAGGCCCAATTTATGAACACAGCAATAGCAGCATACAAAAAAATGATGATGATGATGAGGCAACAGATCTACTTAATAATGATATGTGCTGTAGTAAGAATAGGAATAGTTTTTTTTTTTTTAGGATTCTCTTGAAAACAGAAAAGGGACGAAGTCAATAAAGTTACTGAGTGCTGGGCACACCAAGACTTTCAGTTTTAGATCAGAATATGTTATATTATGTACACTTCTAACAAACTCCTTACTTTGACGCACAGTGATGCAGTAGATGATTCCAGATATTGCAATAACAAATCCAATCACCAGTCCACACAGTCCAACAGCTATCTGAGTTTGTTGTTCCACTGGGAGGGAGGGGTCTGAAACAGTGAGATAAAAGTGAAACTCGTAATTATGCAGCTTAAGTTTTATCTCTCTGACTTTAATTGGCATCACAGCAGCAAACTTACCCCAGACCACAAACATCGGCTCGGAGAGACCAAGGTGTTCGACCATGCAGGCAATTTTTTCTGCTGAAGTTGGGATGTACTTCAGGTGAGAATGAGTCTGGTAGCACCAGTCACCATTAGGCATCACGTCAGAGTAATTGACATCTGTGGTCACCTCCTTGCCGTTCCTCATCCACCTCATTCTGATTTGTTTTGGATAAAAGTTGTAGGCACTGCACACAAGCGTAGATGTGTGCTCGCCATTAGGCCTTTTCAAGGATTTTAGTTTGACGGTGGGTATAGTTGTCAGATTATCTGTGAAAAAATAAGTTTCATGCTTCTGATTAAGAAAAATACATTACTGCACCTTCTCCGTTCACAGATGTATTCCTCAAATGTACATAATGTAATGTATCGTGGCTATGTTGTCAATTATGGCATACTTGGGGTGGCTGTAGCTCAGGTGGCAGAGCAGGTCAGCCACTAATCAGATGGTCGGTGGTTCAATCCAGGGCTGCCTCCTGGCTGCATGCCAAATATCCTTGGGCAAGATACTAACCCCATGTTGCCTACTGGCGGTGGTCAGAGGGCCCGGTGGCGCCAGTGTCCGGCAGCCTCGCCTCTGTCAGTGCACCCCAGTGCAGCTGTGGCTACAATGTAGCTTGCCAGTGTGTGAATGGGTGAATGACTGAATGTAGTGTAAAGCGCTTTGGGGTCCTTAGGGACTGAGTAAAGCTATACAAATGCAGACCATTTACCATTTACTTGGAAATCAACTGTAATGTCATGCAACTGAGCAAAACTCATAAAGCACTATTGTTATTTACAGTAAAACAAATATAATCTTATGTCATCAAAAATGATCATAAAAATATGTGATGTAAAAGGTTCACAGCATCAAAACCCTATTTTACATTTGATTTAAAACATTATTAAGAAACAATTTCTTACCTACGGATTGGATGGCATCTAACATGTCCGTACACAACAGTTTCCTTTCGATCTTTCTTCTTTGTGCATCAACGGGATCCCTGTTCCACCATTTTGCTGCTTCAATTGAATACGCTGTGAATCCCGTCCAGTTGCCTCTTGTGCTGTTGTACTCCATCATCAAGTTCTTATTAAAAAAACTAGTTAATATGTACTCGGTTTCTTCAAAGTGTGATCCTTTGAATGTACAGCATGCTCTTACTTGGTAAAAGTCTTCATCTGTGAGAACTGAAATAAAAAGAAAGAAATGTTCTGATGTTAAAAATAATAATTACTTTAATATTTCACTGATTTGTTCAAAGAGAAGATTTTTGCAGCTCACCTGGACTTAAAAGAGAGAAAGCCACACACAGGACAAACTTATGAGTGTTCATGTTTCGCGTGTGTTGTACGATGATTCAGGAAGAAGACTTAATCTGCAGCATTTATATGTTCACCAAAACAAGGAAATGAAAGCAGATAGGCTGATATAACAGCGAAACATTTAGTGGAAACTCCCTCTATCCATTACATTTATGACAATAACTGCTAATAATTACAACTTTGCTCCTTTGTTCAGCTAGCACTTGTTTGTGCACTAATACTAGGTGAAGTGACTTATGTGGACAATCAAACTGTTGTTTGACAATCAGAAACAGTAGAGAGACGTGGGAGCATTTTGTGTTGAGACCATAAAGAAGAATGTTTTAAACTGTAGAGAGGTTAAAATAGATTACAGAATTCAGCCTACAGAAAACGATATGCTTTCACTTTTCTTACAGCTCTTGTGAAAAACATTACTGAAGTTTTCTTTTCAGTAAAGTGAATTGTATCACAAAACCTCATATTCTGTTGCGAAAAAAAATCTCTGCAACTAACTACAAACTTCTTACAAACTATTTTTCATTTCTAGTAATTTTCCAGAATGTATTCACTTGTATCGATTTATTTACATATTTTTTTTAACTTAGTTTTCACATCCTTGTTAATAATAGTGGAGTAAGTAATAATACTTATGAAGTGTAATGACTTACAATCAGGTAGATGTCTCAGCAACAATATGTTTAATATGTTTATGGATACATTATTTTTTTCTAGTCTGGTTTTTACTTTATTTCAGTTGAAAGAAAAACAGCATAGTTTTTTTCAAGTTTCATTCTTTTTGACATAATGCACCTAATATGATTTTAGAGTGATGGATTATTAATAAGGCATATTTCAATGCTAGAATACCAGTAATGCAGACTTCAAGCTCTGCACTAATGCTACGAACCAAAAATGTGCAGCAGCGCGTCACGTCTGAAAATGTCTGTGGGAAAAGTGCTGATATCACCGTTCAGCTTTATTGCACAGTATGAAAGCGAAAGGTTTATTATAGAAACACTGACATATCAGCCAAAGAACGATGGTTTTATTTTTAACAGCATATGAGCCGTTAATGCCATTACACAGTTGATGCAAATACGAGACAGTTCATGTTTGTCAGTAACCACAGATGAAAGATATGCCTGCTGGAAACAAACGAAGGATTATGCAGCTCTATACAATATGTAGTATACATCTCAAGCAGTGCGACCAGAGCGCACTACTTTAACAAAAAAGCAGGTTCCTAAGAAAACTCCAAGAAATCCAAGACTCAGGCCAAATCCACAGACGACAGCTGGACCATTGCTGATCTCCTCTGTTTCAACCATCTCTAGAGAACAGCAGAAAGAAATGATGAATTCTAAACATTAAATCGTATTATATGTGCTAAAATATCTGAAGCTTCTTTGTTCTCACTCCAAAACTTGGTCTGAGGCTCGTCCATTGCTTCATGTTCCACAGTGCAACTGTAGATGTCTCCTTTCTCTGGCACAAAGTTGAGGTAGGACAAAACATAAGCAGTCCCATCAGGATTGGACAAAGTTTTGATGAAAGGGTCCTCCATTGTTACTTCTACATCATTCTTGGTCCACTTAATGTTGATCAAAGGAGGAAAAAAGTGGTTGATGAAGCAGATGAGGGTATTATCTTCCCCTGTTATCACTTCATCTCTGGGGTAGATGATGAATTCTGGTGGCTCTAAATTAAATGAACACATGATTTGCTTAAATTCAACTTTCTCGTTTAAAAAAAAGATCTAAAAAAAACTTGCAGCATAAACAGTGAAAACTGAACAGGAAACATAACAGTTTGAGTTTCACTGACCTTTTTTCTTTATTACAGACTTGTCTGGCTTCCATCTGTACATGTCATTTTTGCACATGCTTCGATATAATACTGCATATTTGTAAGCGTCGGGTGAACGAAAACTTGTGGGAATTTTGCTCTCCCAAATCAGAAGATCTTTTTTAAAGTCTGCATAGTATATTTCATCACCATCAAATGCTGCACAGATTTGAGTATCACTAGAGTCAAAACATCCATAGATGTGACAAAGTGTATGACTTCCTAGGATCAAGTGACAACACAGTTAAAAACACAGTGTTAAAATACTCTAAATTACAAACAAATAAACCATAAATAAATTTTACACGATGAAAGTTATAGATGAACCAGTAATGGGGAAATAATGATACCTACCTTCAGCCTCGACACAGGCTGCTGTAGACAAAATAAATATAATTTTAAGGAACATGTTCAGTCTGTACTTCGCGGTGTTCTGCCTTGTGTCTCTCGTCTTTAGTATCAAAGTTGACGGTGATACAGGACAACTTCCTCATTGATAAACAAATCATATAAATGTTGCTGGGCAGAACAGTAGGAGGGGAGGAGTCAAATAGAATTTGCTGAACAACTTAAACTAAGATAAATACAGTTTATGGAGCAAAAAATCAAATCCAGATAAATTCATTCACTGTGGTTACATTTAGAATTGAATTTTTTTAAATTGTCATTTGTGCTTAGGAACATATAATAATTTATGCTTAGAAATATGTAATCATTTGTATGCTGATAAAAATCACATTCTTATTAGGTCTGATTAGATTCTGTGCACCATGAGATGAGAGGAAGCAGCCTCGACGTTATAATTTCCATTATAGCTTTAGGAACTAGATTGTTCTGTTTCTTAGAGGTGCAAGACTTCCCACCTTCAAATGTGCATTTGAGATATGACCTATTGCAAGTTCCTGTTTTTATAGTTTAGCAAGACGCTTACTTTTGCTTTTCTGCATACCTCAAACACACAGTTTAAGTTCATTGAAAGGTCGAATGTCTATGTATAGTATGGCCGGAAACACATACACACATGCACCTACACACCCACACACGCACAGGATACAGACACTGGTGTTGTTCAGATATGTCTGCTTAAGACTGTCATGTGTATTTGAAATTGCATATTCATGAATGATTGCTTGCTGACAATAAAAAGGGCTGTAGCAAAGGAATCAGTTGGAGTTGACTAAGTCACTGATTTGTTTGCAGCAGCAGCTTTACTTGCATCCTGACTCATGTGTATGAAGCGTTCATGGCTTTGTAGTTGTATAGTTCACTGTCCATATGTAAAATCATCCACTCAGTTTTTGGTGCACTGACCAATGTAACTGTGAATCAGATGTTGCCATTGCCAACACTTTTAGGTGAACATGCTCATACTTAATTGAGGCAAACTGAGTTCACTCACCAAGCTGATATTTGATGTTGAAAAAATAAATCATGAGTTACTTAAAATGTGTTTTTGATAACCTATATTTATTTTTAGCACTCAGTCTGAAGGTGAAATGCTTAATGTTTGTAGCATAACTGATAAAAGTGGTCTACAAAACAGTGTATGCAATTTAAAACTGTCTGAATACCTCGAAAGAATAGGGCAATAAACCAGATTAATGATTTCCATAAAGGTCAAGATAGAAAATTAAATCAATTTACTGCTGATTCTATACAGAAACTGCTTCATAAAAGTATTTTCTATATATATTGAGCTATGACTATGTCATTTATTAAAGCTGTGTTGTCTCTTGAGGTAGAGTTCAACAACAGCAAAATGTTTTTCGTTTGTTTTTGTTTTTTGGTTTGAAAAGTAGATAAATTTATTAATTAATTTGTGATCATACCTGTGGATCATAGTAGCACATAGTAATTAGACATATGATTTACTAATGCAGATGAAGCACAAGTTCATTCTATAGTGCAAAGAGAACAAAGAAGAACAGCACCTTGAGTTGTGTCTTCCTTCCTGGGTTATTTTGGTGGCTGTTGTTCTCTGTGTCATGTGCTGAGGTTTTATGCACTCTATGCAACTCTTTCTTTGATAATTTGTCCAAGTGAGAATAATTGTTACTTGTGAGCTGGCTCTCATCATGCAAACTTAATGATGATAAGTTCAGAGCCAGCTAAGAGCTTTGTGGTTTCCTTTGTTTTAGGTAATAAGGCAGAAAAATTAAAAATTAGTTTCTTGTCTTAAGTGTAGAGAAGAAGGAAAAAAAGAAGTCTGACACCCCGGTAAATGAAACTATGCTATTTCTCTATATAAATATATATGAATTGGTTGTAACAGCAGCAGAAGAAAAGCACATATACAAACAGCACTGAAACATGTTTGAAGGAAACACTTACATCATGGACAATAGTTATAAAAACAGAGTGCTGTACAGTTATTAAGATTAAAGTACAGGTCTATATATATA